GGCTGGAAACCGACAGGATGTCGAGGACGCTTACCTGGAGGCCTGGAATTGGCTCTTTCGCCCCGCGTGTAGCATGGGAGAGGCTGGCGAGAGCGGGACCGCGGGCGCGGACGCAACGCACCTCAAACAAGCGATATACTGAAGCGCATGGCGTACGGAACAGCAGCTCCTCATGCGCGTGGCTGCTACTGCGGCTCTGCGCGCCCCCACGCGCCAACCATGCCATTCGGACGAAGCCTTCTTCCCAATCCGTCGAGCTCACAGCACCAGCCAGCGGCTTACTGGGCTGCATGGGCCGACGTGCTGCTGGCCATTCGCGACCGCCTACCTGGGTGCGCCGAGAATTACATAGTGATGCCGGAGGCCGACGTGGAGGACGCATTCCATTGCTTGGCGGAAGCGGTGCCAGCACGTCGCTCCCCGCAGGATGAAGGCCGGAGCGAATGCCCCACCCGGCATGCTGTATTCGAAGGAGCCCGCCCCGCCTCATCAACCGAGGACAGCACGGGGGGATTGGCCACATGGTTGGCAAAACCATGCATGGCGGATCCATACCGAACATTATCGCGATCGCGTGCTCATGCCTGCCCTGTCGCTCAGTTCCTCACACGCGGGAGCCTGGCTCACCGCCATACCTTGCGAGCCGGCCACCACGATGCCGCCACAAGCGTTGTGGCGACGCCTGCCGCTCCCGCTCAGCCCCAACCGTTGTGGCCCCAACCCCAGATGTGGGGGACCCGTCAAAGCCCTTAGCGACCACACCCTCGCTTGCCCCAGGACAGGCCTCTTGGATCCCCGTGGGCCGACGCACCAACCCGCGAACCAGTCGGAGCCGAGCACCACCTTCGCGACCAGGCGGCCCTGGCAGCAGTGCGGAGGGCGGGCCCAAAGCAAATAAATCGTGTTCAAAGTGCATACGGTGACCAGAGCGTCCATGCCTAAAACATAAATAATCGTGTTCCACATGCATACGGTGACCAGTCCCTTTCCAAACCAGAAAATTGTTTGTGTGCTATCGCCCCCGATTGTTAGAGCATCGTGCCCAAGCCATGAAAACGTGCGTGTGTCAAGCTCATGTATTAACCAGAGCACATATGCCCAAACCATACAGGGTTTGTGTACGAGCTCATCCGATTCTCAGAGAATCCCTCCCAAACTTGACACGTGAGGGGAGCAGCAGCATAGGATGGAGCGGGCTAATTTAATTCGGAACATGTAAGCATGTGAACTGTCCTTTTGCGATGTGCAAGACGTACGGTTTCGGCTGATGGCAAAGAGAGTCTTGGCCTTATTTCTAGGGATTAGATTGCCTTATTCCCAACATCAGAGGATCTCGAGGCATGTTTGGACATGCCATGTGAAGAGGCCATTGTTGCTGAGAGATCCCAGACAGACGTTGAAACCATCGTTCCCTATCTTTCAGCATGTTCAGCAACGCATGCCATGGAGTAGTGAGTATGAAGCAGCGTATGAGGCACATGGGCGCACTCAGCACTGTGCCTATTCAATGCAAATCTTCGGGAACGGCAACATCATGTTGCGGATGTTGGTTCCTCAGACATGGCAGGTTTTGCTTGCCACATGCTGGTGCAGCTAGTCGAAATCCGAAAGGCAGTAGTGTTTTAGATACCGAAGACGTTTATACACACTGTCCGTGGGCATCAGCTGCCAAACGTGCCATCAGTTGGTTGCAACAGCAGCAGCGGCAGCAGCAGCAGCAGCGGCAGCGGCAGCGGCAGCGAAGCACAAAAGCTAGCAAACAACGTGCTGAGTTGCAGACCTCATCATTGAGAACCTATGCAGGCATTTAAGAGATTCAGCATCTTCCCTGTGCAAATGATCATAACCAGGGAGCCACGCTACATGGATCCCATACGGTAGCTATGAGTTGGCACCTGCGGCCATGATGTTTGCACGAGATGAGTTGAGGTAGAAAAACGCGGCGAAAACAAGTTTGTGGAGAACCAATGCACGGCAAAATCATTTGCCATACAGAGTTGATGGGTTGAGTTTTGAGGCATGGACACATTGCTCGCCAAAAAACCCAACTAGGAAAAATGATGTGGCTTTGCTTTGGCTTGGGAACAGATATTTGGTATTTGCAGCCACGAGTAACACGGAAGCGTTCCACGTTCTTCCACTTCAACCATATTACCCTTCCGTACATGCATGATTCGACACGCCATTTTGATCGTAGATACAAAAGCCACACCATCGCGTTGTCAGTGTAAATCGGCTCGGTGATTGCTGGATGAGGTGTTAGTTCGTGCACTGTGAGCCTGAGCAGTTCGAGCATGGTCCGTAGAATTTGGCATGAGGCGTCTTCTCTCTCTGTGTACACACTTTCTGCGCATGTGTGTGCGTGTCTGCTACGCAAAGTGATGCTGACAGCACATTTGTGGTCATTCCCTGCTCAGGATGTGGCGCATGGACCGCAGGAGCCTTGGCTGTGAGCACATTACCCTGAAAAACTGGGTTGCTGCTAAGCAACTTAAATTAAGTTACCATATTAGGGAAACCCTATTATTTACTATATATACCCATTATGGTAACTTGATTTAAGTTCCTTAACAGCAACTCAGATGAGCATGGAGGAATCCTATTTGCTGGTGATCTGGTTTCAGATGAGCTGTACACACAAACAGCAAGGATTCAGTGAGAAGCTGGAGTGGCAGTGTCAGAGGATGTCTCAGGTTTCTGTATGTCTTGCAATGTCCTGTATGTGACTTTTGTGAGAGTGACTGTTACAGGGCTGAGGGGTTGCAGCCTTTCCCATACATTGTCCACGAGGCTTTAAGAGAGCAGTGCGCTTTTTCAGAACGCAGGAGGTGGCCCTGAGTAGTGCAAAGAAAGCACATGCACGTTTGAACTCAATCATGTCCCAAAACTTTGGCAATTGAACATAAAGGCAAGTCATCGGGGCATCGGAAGAATCTAAAGAATCCCAATACTGCAAAGTTCGAAGTCAGTGAAGTTCTACTGCCTCAAAACCCCCCTTCCGGCCTAGTTCATTTTACTGTCAAATTTACTCTTACAGATCTGTTCCACATGTGTCTTATGGAGCCCAGGCCACTTGCTGGCGGAAGCCCACTTCTTTCCGCGCCCCATTGACTTCCAGGACCAAGCCCGGGGAGACTGAATGTAAACCCTAAACCTTAAACCTGCGAAAGTTGATGGCAGCGGAGGACTTTCCGCTGAAGTTGTCTGCTGTTCGGGATGTGTAGTTTTGTAGTTTGACCCGGATTCTAGCCTTGCGATGCTGTATGGCCATGCAAGCGGCAAAACCTGCGATGCGCATACCTAAACCCTAAACCTGATACAGTAGTTTCATGTAGTTTCCATTTTGTTTTCCATTATCCCTATATGAAATAATTATACCCTAAACCCAGCTCTAAACCCTAAACTTTCCGGGGGACTCAAGAGACTTTGAGGTCTCCAGGCCGGGAGGCGTGGACAAATCCAAGCTGCGCCGAGGAGGCTTCCGCATGACCGATTTCCTCGTGGCTGAAGGAGTTCGAGGAGCGAGACGAAGGGCATAGAAACATATGAGCTGTAGTCGAAACTCCTTAACGGGGGGTTATATAGGGGATTGTATAAGGGAGTATAGGGAATATTAAGGGGGATACCAGGAGTTTAGACTATACCTTATTTAGGGCCATCCTTGTGTGCTTGGTTGTTTCCAGTTCATGCGAAAAGGGGCCTCTCGACAGCCGTCTGGTGTGAGTTCGTCTAGCTAGCAGGCACTCGACCAAAGAAGAGCATGCGAGCATGCAAAGAAGATAACTTGCACACCAAAAGCCCGCGATGCAACTAGCCCACCTAGCTGTTTTGTACCAAGTGGTCAGCAATCAGGCCCGACAGAAGAGCCACAAGCAGTTGGCTGCATCGTCCAGGAAAGCGCTTTGCAGCTGCGTGGCTCATGGTCCTTGCAGTTTTCACAACATGCCTGATGTTTCCGTTGTTTCCATCCCTGGCAGTTGTGCGGGGAAGGCGGTGGATGAGGACTGGGACTGTGATTCAGAGCTCGACATTAAGGTTTCGCCTCAGCACAGCTTGAAGTCGGGCGAGTTTGCAAACGGCTTTGTGCGGCTGGTGTCGAGTATCTTGCTTGAGCTTAGTAGGGAATACAGGAATATCTTATATAGGGAGTCGAAAGAAATTATATAGGCATATTCCCGTATTCCCGACGAACTCCAGCATATATCATATAGGGATTGTATTGTTTAACCCCCATTCCCACCTACCTACCAGCAAGGTAATGCCCTTCCCATTACTTCTGTGGAATGGGGTGCCCCGGGGTCCTGGTAAAACGCTATTTGTTTATTCCTCAAATGACCCGCGGGGGGGGGGGGGGGGGGG